TATAACGTCCTACTGTCTGTTTGTGGGGGAAAAGATATAAAAAAAATCCTAAACAACTAAGTATGCTGTTAGGTGTTTTAATAAAGCTGACAGAATTCTATCATGAAAATACACAAAATTAATTTTACATTCATTTTTGAAAAATCGCCCCTAAAAATGTGCGAGTCTGTTTTGTGTCTACTAACCTTATTTTGTACTTAAGTTAGAATTACAAAACAAAATTATGACAGTGTCATAAATAAATGACCATACAGCACAAATTGTGTAGGATAATTTTATCACTTTATAAAAATACTGACGAGAAGGTTAAGATTGTCACCTAATAGATGTAAAGAACTAAGAAGTCTACTCAAATACCAAGACGGTAAATTAAATATCCAAGTTTTCTCTTAAACTATGCACGAAGATGATAACTTCAATCTACCGTGGGTAACAGTCATGGATATAGGCAGTTTAATTATATGCCTTGGCCTCAATACCATTAATACCTGGAGTCTACCTAAAGCTGAGCTCATACATCTACATGGTATGTTGCTCAATCAAAGGTGATGATTATATGCTATGCCGAGATATACACAATCTCCCATAGACTAACACAAAAACCTAAATCTCAAATGCAATCTCCCATAGAATTAACATAGACTTAATTTCTAAACATTTTCTCCGGGTTGGTAAGTATGGATTATTAAAAGTTCTGTTTACACAACCAATAAAATTTTATCATTTATAAATACTTATAAATTTTATTGGTTGTGTAAAAAGAACTTTTAATAATACATAGACTTAATATGTTTTAATTTTTGAATGAGCTCAAACTTAATCCCCATAAACTTGGGCTCAAAACAATCTCCCTTAGACATAGAATTGTAAAATTGGGCTCAAACACAATCTCTCATTGATTTATTGCAACTCAAATGAATATCCCATGGACTTACAGACTTTTGCTAAAACACACTCTACTACTATAACCTTAACAGAGACTTCAGCTCAAATGCAATCTCCAATAGACAACATACAGACCTAAGCTCAAATATCATCTCCTGTATACATTTAAGCTCAAAACTTCATCTCCCGTAAACTTAACATAAGGACGTATACGCTCAAACATATATAAGCTTCACAATCTGAACAAAGACACTTCAACTCAAAATTACCCTCTCATAGACTTAACATATAGAGCTTAAGCTCAAATGCAGTGTCCCATAGAACTAATACAGAGACTTAATCTAGAATGAAGATTGAGTCGAAGCGTTGATGATATTGAGGCCGGCACTGGTCTATCAGACTATTTGGCTATTCAGTGCATATATGTTATCATATATGTCCTGAAGTTATGCAATGCCACTCCAGGACAATACCTGGATTAGTATTACTGGTAAACCCCAGGGGACACCTGACGATACCTCCTGGATCCTTTATACAAATTCTGGATTTTTAACCCTTTCACCACTGTAGACCATAATGGACTCATTCAAATCATTGCATGGGATAGTCTAAAGTTTCATAGGGGTGAAAGGGTTAACAGTATAACATGAATTTGTCTTGTGGGTTTTTTCAGGCCAATATGACATGACTATGTCTGAAGCAAAGGAGGGAGAAAAAACACTTATGTGGCTTACAGTTGTTTCAAAATTTCCAGTGAACCCCCTGTGAACAGTTTAAGCTTATGTGACATCAGAAATACAATAAATACACATTTTTTTTATAACAGAATAAGATAATGTAGACTTAGATAAACAGATTTATACAGCCCATAATATATTTCTGCTCTTTCACTATGAAGGCCTAGTTTTGCTTTATATACACATCGACATCATAACACAGGCAATGAAATATCACAAGATTGAATGGTGATACAGTGTGAGGGGGCATATAAATATAACTCTACATCATACTTGTACAAATATATCCATTTGGGTATATAGTATACAAACAAAACATTGATATCTTATATATGTAATGCTAAATGTTTACACTGTGCGCGTCTCATAGTTATTTACTGTATGCAAAGCAACGGGCACATTATGTCCTGCATTAAAACTAGTCAATGGGAATTTCCTTGGATATCTTTACATCTTAACATGTAAATTATATACAGCATTATATTTCTGTATTTGTATTTTATAGAGAAACCTGTCTTAATTCTATTGTAAATATTCTTATAACGTCCTATCTAATACAACATAATGCTGTAACCTCATTTCTTTTGAAAACTGTCTCGTGTGACTCTACTTCAATAAGATTTATCAGTTTGGAAATATGTATTAAATATAAAAGTTTCACTTTATACACGAGTAATGTACACATTAAACGCGTCGATAGGGAGTGTATACACACTGTATTGAATAGGTTACCGATAGTGTGCCCAATATGTTGTTTCCAAGGGTGCAGGATTAGACAAGGTGTACTGTACCTATGAAATTTTGTTACCATGAACTATATTTAAGTGTATAAAAGTGATTAACAGTTTTTTTTATTAATAAGTCCAAATATACATTGTTTAACATTTTGCCTTGGTCTTATCTGCATTGTGTTTTTACTGCAATGTAACGAAAAATATGTAGATCTATATCAATTAATCAATGTCAAACTCTTATAATTGATCAAAGATAAATTTCAAATAAATATTGACAGAATTTTTGGAGTTATTGACAATTGAGTTATCTTAAAGTTTATAACACTTGAATCAGATCAACCCTACCCCTACAAGCCAGACGGATTACTCTCCCTTTATAAGTGTTCATGGTTCTTGCCTTTGTACACATACTTCACCCTTTCAACACAAGAAAACTTTAGTAGACTCTTCCATACATTTATCTGGATGAGTCCATTATGGTCTACAGTGGTGAAAGGATTAATGCAAGATAACTATCATGTCACAGTTACTGTAATATTGAGTACACGTGTTAGGAACTAAGCTTTTACTTACTAATAGCACTAATTAATCCTATAGTACTGGAAGGCTTCACCTTCACATGAAACCCATTCAACTATTTCTGTATTGTAATTAAAGAAAAGGACAAGGGACACTTTTAAATACAAAAAGCTCTTCTATGCAACGATTTTGTATAGAAGTATCTTTTTTTCTAATTCATTACTTTTTCTGTCATGAGCACAGGTTAGAAAAGAAATTACAGATTGTAGAAGTTTTTAGATATCCTCCATAGCAGGTTCTTGTATTAAACAGATTTTTTAATGTAAATTTTACAGCAGCCTCTTCCTACAAGAAATTGACAAATACAGCAGTATCTAATTAAAATTGGGAGGATATTCCTGATTTTTTCTTCAATTTGGGGAAAATAAAGCCCTTTTTCTCAGTAAGCAGCCTGTATTCAGCTTAAACACTAGGCAAAATTAATCACTGTTAAAAGATGTGACATCACAGAAATCAACAACTACATTTTGATTTTATCTCCAATTCATTTCATTTCATTTAATTCATGTAAAATAAAAAATCAAGCGATATGTGACATTCTATCTACATTAGACATCGAAATATTGGTCCCATTTTTTTAACATAAGATTGTCTTTAATACAAATCTCCATATGGATTCTGGTTTTATTAAATATCAAATTCAGTTTTGGTCTATAAAGTATTAAATGACTTACCATAACAACCTACCTGACCCCCTAATTAGGTCCCTACAGCTAACACAACCTGATACTGGACCTATAATACCTGCTTTACCTTATAGGTATACATTGGAGGCACTTCAAACACGAAAGATTCGGGGTAACAGACCACGAAATGATTTACCATGCTATTTAATAGTATTACAATAAAACCTCTTCATCTTGAATTCTTCAGAAACGCCTTTTCCAACACCAATATTATGGAATTAAACTACGTTTCAAAGATCTTTTCTGTTTCAGCTGTCTAGAAAATTATTTGAATTTTTTTGACAACAAAAATGTTTAATTCACAAATTTCCACTGGGTTTAATGATACATGTACTACACACATTTAACAGGTGTATTTTACCTTATCTTTAGAGCAGTCTGTATAGAAATATTTCATTGTATTCTACATGTATTCATAAAAAATTTGTAAACAAATATATGTTTTTTCTAACAAGTTAACGTCAAGGCTACTTACATGTATTGCATTAACTAGCGACAGAGATGAATGTTCTTAAGAAATAGGATAAAACAAGTTAAATTTGTGAAAAAATAAAATATATTTGCATCAAACACAAAACAGAACTAACAGCTTGATCAACATATTCAAATAAAGGCTGATAAGCACTACACATTACCACAAATGAGTATCACAGTTAAGGAAATATTCACCGACACAGGCACTCTCGAACGTGACAGCAACGTGTTTTACAGGCAGTAGACATAAACAAATTATTTACAATGCAAGAAATGACATCATACGCACCACAAACACAGCTTTTTTTTGTGTTCCCCAACAAAAGACAAAATATACCATAATCATATTGCACCTTTAACATGTCCAAGAATAACCAGAATGTTATCTACCAGTAAATCTAATAATCTTCACCTTGTAAAACAGGAATGTATGATAATGGATGGGCAACCAAAATGTGACTAGAGCAGGGTAGGAAATGAAATGTATTGTCAAACACACCTAATCATTAATAAGACATTATCATTACAAATGGTTGGGAGTACTATGACAGATCTTTGAAATAACATCATGTGTTTCTTATCATCTAACAAAGCCATCGCTTGATTGATACATCTGTTCTTAATCACAGAGACTTGGTTTCGAGGATGAGTTTGAATCTCGGCGTAAGTTAACTTTTATATTCCTATGATGATAGCTACTGTATACCGGGAAACATTCGCCCAGTCAAATATTCACCTTTTTTTCTCTCGATAAAAAATCCATGATCACCCAGTGATAATTTCGCCATTTACATTACATTACATTCACTCTTATGATAAATTCACCCTCATTATAGGCAAAAGTTAAACTGCGACGACAAATTCCCAATATACAGTAATATTCTGTTTCAACTCATTCACCCCTAAAATTTCATGATGAACTATTCCAACCTTTGAATTGGAAGAGTTCAAATGTGTTTTCAGGGGTTAATGAGTTAAGTACCACTTACAGGATATCTTCATGTTCTATTTGGAATATATTGAATTACTAAGTGTGCATAATTACAAGTTCAAGAATGTTCTTATTGTAAATCTTCCAGAAAATTTAATGTTTTTTTTGTTCATTATATCTGTTGTCTCCGACTTACAATGTAGTGCTGTGTGGCAGCCAGCAGATATATAAATATAGCTCTGATGACTGAGTATTACGGACTGAAGGGATGCACAGGTGATACAGTAGTAATTAAGTTGGTCCGCTGCTCGTCTGTGATGGTAGTACAGTGCACCAAGTGATTGTTAATATAGGTGAATAGCCTAACAAAGCAGGATAACTTAACGATGTCAATACATAATACTAATACAGTAAAAAGCTGCTGAGTGATAATCGCATCTAGTAGAGAAACTGTACATGTTGTGTCTCCAAATCACTGCCTTTATACAGTTTTACTTTGGTATGAATCATGATAGGTTTGTTATGCACTTGAAAGAAACAATCTAAGCATTATCCTTTCAACATTTTGATATTTTTGTTTCTAGAATGATCTACTTATCAGATACATATTGAAAACTCCACCCGAGACCATTTAATATCTTTGACCAGTTGCCCAAGCCCATTTGATGTTGGGGTTTTTTAATATAATATTTATGGATGAAATGTCCAACAATAATTTATAAGGAAAGAAGATCACTGTTGAGTAATTCCCTTCAATGTAGTAATGCCTCCATCGGTCAGCTCCTAGCAATAACACAATAGGTCCTATAACTGGACAGAGGTCAGCCTGTCCATTGCTCCAGTGTTTTGTTATGAAACAGGAGGTTGACCGTTGGCAGAGGTGTTGTTTCTTCTTTGTCGGTGGTTGGATCCTGACTAAGGTCACCTATACTTGCGCTATCCTGATAAATAGAAGCAAAGACATAAGTTTGTTTATGGTTTAAAGTCCTACCAACAGCTAATAAGGTCATTTAAGGACGTGCCTTCGTGTGTATTGTGTATGTGTGCATGTGTGCATGTGTGCTGGAGCAGGCAGGAGATGTACCAGGTAAGTATAATCTACATGTGTCTCTCGTAATCCAAAAAATGTGTAACAGGAAAGAGAATAGTGTGCTTCCACCGGGGATCAAACCCACGAGATACCTAGGTTCCTAGTCAGACGCTCTACCACTGAGCTAAAGGGAAGTTGCCTCTAGCTCAAAGATAATAGGCGACCCTAATCCCATGTACAATTAAAATCTGGCACAAATGAATATGTCTATAATTATTTTGCATCAACATCTGGTTGCTAACAGTACATGTATGTGAAACAAAGATTGTTACATACATTGGGAGTGAAATGATACACTGCAGTATTTTTTCTTTTGGATCAGTACATGGTACAGAAATTAAGACAGTGAGTATACTGTGGTTGAATAATCTACACAGTAAGACCATTTCATTATGTACTGGTAAGAATTGCATGAACATCAGGTATTTTATTACTATATAAGTGTGTTTCCGAATGGTTCAACACTTTAAACATCAAACTACACGAACATATAACTTTTCAACATAATCTTGTGTCGTGATGGAAAAAAAAAAGCTGTATTCAAACAAACGGATTTGCAGGAACGCTACAACATTTTTCTGTTCTGTAGTGTAGAAACATTTTTGTATCAAAACAAAGGACCACTGTTGTGTACTCTTTTAAATATTTTGCATTATACAGTACAGAACTGATACAGAACCCGTTACCTTGCACTGCAATACACATTATTAGGAAATCACCAAGTCCCATCCCTCCCCACCCCACCAATATTGATCATCAATCGTAAATACTACTAAATTAAATTAAAAGGTTGCTCCTGTAGCACAAGATACTCAAAGTCTAGTTACGTTTGAAATGGAAATCATCTCATGATCAGTACAAGTAAATAGTTTATCTATTAGTATACTAGGGCTTTAAAATTATAAGTTCTTACCTGGAACTGGGACACAAAGTTTAATAACCTAAGGGACACCTTCCTACTGGAATGTAGCAGCTCCTGGAGGCTACAAAACAAAACCAAAATTATCTCACAGGAAACTGTTTGGGCCAAATGTTGACAACAGATGATAAATGGACATATATAGAATGTCACAACATGACATCAGCTCTGAGGCATAAATATACTGGACGTTTGAATCCTCAATGCTTAAAGTATATCATCTTATATCAACTCCTCTTATGTTGACATTTGATCATGAGTTGCTAATGACTTCAATTAAAACAAAAATTGACTTACCTTTTCTTTGAAAAGAGTCCTTCAGCGATGACTTTTGAACACACATCCTTGTTAAGACTGGAACTAAACAATGGAATACCGAAATAACACTCCAAAATGACCCAATCCTCCTCTTTTGTGTCTTCTAATGATCTTTTCCTCTGTGTAGCACTGTCAAGGTCAAGTTTTAAAGTCAAGTTGTCTTTCAGTTTTTTGACAGTCACATTCTGTCCTGCACCAGTAGCACCAAACATTTCTGAGTCTAACAAGTCGATCTCAGTGGCCAGCATGTCGGCCGAGTTTTTATCTGTCACACCGTTCAGGGGTCCATCAGACTCCGTATCTGACTGATGGGTGTTGAAGATAATGCCGTTGCTAGCTTCCTCGAAGTAGTCTTCCTCATCGGGATCCTCCTGGAACACGGTATGTGACAGAAGTCCCGTGTTGAGGAGGGTGATATACCCACATGTGTGTTCTAGGTCTACATGTTCACATAAACTTTTAATGCCCGAATGACTTTCGTAGTTCTGTTTGGAAAATGGTTGTCCTGCAATAAAAAAAAAAATGGTTCATGGTGGTTAATTAGTATACCTACTTGCATTTTCTTCGTTCTTGCGCAGTCTTCATTTTCTCAACAATATTCTTTATGAATGACTGACATAGTTATCCAGAAAGCATTCTGTATAAATGACTTGTGCCAGTGCACATGTATATATAAATGTACTACATTCTCAATCCACTTTCAGACATTAATCAATTCTCACATTAGATCATAGTCTGAGAATAAATTGGTAATGGAAATAATATTTGTTACCAATTCCTGTTTCAATAAAAAAATCTTTGATGTTTGTACATTACCTAGTTTTGTCTTGTCGAGAGGAAATGAGATGTTGACCGTTTTACCCTCAGACTGCCAGCCGTGGGCCTACAATATAAATGAGAGGCTGATAAACACAAACTTGAGTATTATACAACTACAAAATTAACCAACATAACTGTTTCCTGAAACTATTTATTTCATTTAAGATTTTAAATGTTTAATTTAATATGAAGTTTATATATTTTACAACAATTATTAAACCAGTTATCAAGTGTCAGGGAATCGAACCCCGGTCTTCTTCGTGAAGACAGCGCCACCCGAAATGTATATTTGGTAAGTTGGATTGCCTGATGAAGGTAAAACTATATAAAGTACAACCGAGACCCATTCCCTTCATCGGGCCATGTAGAATTGTCTACACATTCGTGGTTTAACTTGTATAATTTGTCCTTGTATATTAACTTTTTATGTAGCTTTATGAATCACAATATCATAAAATAATGAGCCTTTTTCTACAGAATTTGCTTCATTAGGTCTCCAACTCTACAATTGAATCAGTATAATACAAGTAATAAAAAGATGTCCAAAGGGACCTGTATTACTATTTACTTATCAATTATTCAGGCTGCCCCTAGTGGGACTGGGTCAGTCACTTCATCCCTTATACATCATTTAATCATATTGAGCCTATGAATGCTTCATGATAAATTCATCAGAATTATTCTATCAACTATTTTGAACGAGCAGTCTTTAAAAGGAAATAATAATGGCATGGATTGAACACAAAGGCACTTGGGGTACATTCGCGTATCCGGTTGAACGTTTGAACCGGTTGAACCTGTAAAGAAAACAACAGGTACAGATCTGGACCTAGCTGGCCTGAGGAAAATTTGGTATGTGTAGATTGAGGGGTCCAGACATATCTGACCGAAACTAAAATGCTGACTATTGCCAATTTGCGTTATTTCTTTCTTAAACAATGTCAAGTCACATGTAGTTTTTAAGAAACGTTATGTAATTAAGTGGACGGATGAAAAAAGGACATATTATTCTTGATACATTGTTTTTTGTTCTCTGAAACAGTGCATTTTTAGCTCTGCTTATAGAATGGTCCAAGTGCGTTCGTTTATCGTGGAAAATTTCTGCGCCACACGTACCGTTTCAACCGGGATACGCGAATGTAGCCTTGGTGTTAGGTAAGTCATAGAATAATACAGGTCAACAACTGTCCAGAACATAGATATAACACAACCTTACCTGGACAAACAAAGCTGAGTGACTAAGAGCGTCGTTGAGTGTCAATAAAATGTTGGATGTGGCTATCACAGCAGGGTCGTGACCCCATGTAGTAACTAACAGCTTGTCATATTCCTATGAACATACAAAATGTGTCAAACACATACAAAATATGTACAAATACATACAAAATATGTACAAATACATACAAAATATGTACAAATACATACAAAATATGTACAAATACATACAAAACGTGTCCAAATACATACAAAATGTGTTAAAAAACACAAACAAAATATGTCCAAATACATACAAAATGTGTCCAAATGCATACAAAATATGTACAAATACAACAAAAAATGTGTACAAATACATACAAATTGTGTACAAATACATACAAATTGTGTACAAATACATACAAAATATGTACAAATACAACACAAAATGTGTACAAATACATACAAAACAAGTCAGCACGTATGATGTAAATCAAACATTACGTTTTGTACCGGATTCAGTGATGGTGTTGATCATCATTTCTTTTTTCATTTTCACATACAAAACATGTTTAAACACATACAAAATGTGTACAAAAAACACACAAAATGTTTCCAACACATACAAAACATGTACAATTACATACAAAACTTGTGCAAACACACAGAAATCATAATCTTTAGCACTAATTTTTATCTATATCAAGCAATGGTAAAACCTCTTCATAAATTCATTACTTTTATGTATCATATAACGAGAGGCCCATTGGGCCTGTATCATTCTACTGTTATTCACCTCAAACCTGTGACTTTCAAATTGCCAAGGTCAATTTATGTAAATATTGTAAATATCAATGCTCTACACATCATGAGTCTTTTTTTGAAAGAATTTATTTCTTTTCACCTTATGAACTTTATTGGAAATTTATTTTTTTATTTTATTTATGTGACCTTCAAAGTTTGTCAAGGTCATTCTTTCAGATCCAACAGTTCATAGCACTTCACAGGCAAAGTATCAGACTGCTCTTGGTTGTTGAAAATGTTTCAACACACTGGATACCTGTGGCCTTTTAAAGTGGATCAAGGTCATTCAGTTGAACAAACTTGATAGCCCTTCATTCAAGCATGCTATACTACTAGCAAATTATCATCATCCTAGACCTCTGGGTAATCATTTTAACCAAAACTTCTACTATGTTTAATCGTGGAAGACTATCTTCATTTCGATGTATAAACTTACGTGGAATATTGCGGGTAGCTTGCGTAGTTTCGTCCCTTTGACCAGGAGAAGTGAAGGGGGACCACACTTTGTTAGGTTATACAGGAACAACTTAAACCACACAGAATTCACCTGTAGGGACAATAAACCATCATTTTATTTGATATCTACTAAATAATGAAAATCATAAAGGTGATTCTACAGACATGAATTAACATAATACAGTAGCCAACAAACTAGACAGTCAATGGCTCAACCATTCTTTTATTGTATGTTTTTTTAAACAAATACATTGTACATTTTTGTACAAACAATTAGGCCAAAAAAATGTATGCTTCAAATTCAGGTACCCTGGCTAACCCCAGTTTTTAACTCCGACCATTACAATTTATCTCACTTGAATGCACCTAAATGTCCATTTTGAATGTGCTGAACATCTTCAGCATCTTTATGATGCTTCTCAAGTATTTCACAGGCATGAATCAAATTTGTCATTTTTTAAATAAGCCCCCTTCCTCAAAAAAAACGAAAGAAAAAAGAAAAAAAAACAACCTACCAACCTACCCTATCTTTTCAAGTCATATAAACTGAAACATACATATTAAATTTCCTCTTGCCTTTAAAAGTAAATTATTGAAAATACAGTAGAATTAAATATGCCATTGCCTATTTTTGAGTGTGAAATCTACAATAAATGTGAAGCATGGCTTTATAACCATGTCATACAAAATCTACCATTATGTATGGGATCTGCTACTCTTGTTCATCATTGAGGCCCTTTTCCCTAGAGCTATTTTCAAAAAAGTTCTGAGGTCTACTGACATGAAACTTTACTTTTTTTATGCAAACATTTCTTCAACTGATTACATATCTTATTTTCTTCTGCATGGGATTGTTTTGGCATTGTATGTTTCGAAAATCAGTCTGTGAGAAACCGTACAGTGTATGGAACAAAACGGGGAAAGGAATCTCTGAACCGTTGTCAGAATACAAGCCACAATGGGAAAGGGAGAGTCGGAAACTTTGTCAGCTATCTGATTATGGCAGTGTTAAGTGTGGAGTCTGCCTACCTCTGGTACAGCCGGTCCTATATGTTGGGGAGTACAACTGCTCACCGGCTTGATCTCGTAGCTCAAGGGTGCCATGGAAACCAGCAATCTGCATAATATAACATGTATTACACCATAGTTTAAATTCACATATTGACAGAAAGGTCCTAAAACAGTTGGAATTTTTTTATGTTTGAAACATGAAGACATCCTATTTCAGCATATAAAATATACTGCATTAAACATTTTATCATATATACTCATTGTCTCAATACAGTTGGAGTTTACATGTACAAAGTACCTAATGCAGCGCACATTCATGTCAGTGATTCTTTTATTCAAGCTGGTCAAACTTATGAATCCTGATTGTAAGGCTGTTTACCTTTATTTTACCTCGTTAAATCATGAGGGCAGTCAGTGATAAATTCAACTATCTCAAAATTATTTATTCCGATGATTATAAATGATTCATGAGTGAATGCAACCCTAGCCATAGTGAAGCATAGCGACTACCCGCCTTTGTATTTCTCTGTAGGTGTATATACAGTGAACACAACTCTGGTTACAGTAAAGTCTATATAGTGAACACAATCCTTGTCAGTGTAAAGTATAACACAGTTCCTATCAGACAGCCTCTACCACACTAAGTATTCTGTCTGGAGCTGTAGATACTGTATAGTGAACACAATCCTTGTCAGTGTAAAGTATAGCACAGTTCCTATTTGACATAATATTCCTCTGTAATGAACACAACTCCAGTCAAAGAAGTCTATAGCTAAGCTCCTATGTGACCGTCTCTCTATACAATAGTACATTTCTGTGGCCATATATGTTGTGAACACAACCCTTGGTCTGCCAAAGAAGTCGGTAGCATACCATAGCTCCTATCAGACTTACTCATAGTTCCTGTTTAAAACTCTGGCTCTAGTCGCGGGATCCAGACCCAACAGGCTCTCACAACGGATCAGGTCGACAGCCAGACCAGTCTTGGTGTCGCTCTCAAATGTCAGGTCCTTATTGTACCTCAGAAACTTCAGCGTGTCCCTCAAAGTCAAGGCGTGCACAAAGTACCTTCGGGCCTCCCCCTCTGCGTCTGAGCCAACCTACCACACATAAATGTTTCTAGTGAGTCAACATTATTTCTGCTGTTACCACTATTTCATTAGCTATGAGCCAACTGGAACGGCTCTAAATCTTAAAACAAGTGAAAGAAACGATTTTCCAGACTTATATATAGGAATGTTATGCGAGTGGTAACAATCCTCCGAGTGATCAGGATGATTGGTCATCACGTTAAACCATTGATCCAAATCCAATAACTAGGCCCCTTTCGGGTATCCGGTTCAACCTATTTGTCTGTTTTTAAATGTAACATTTTCGGGTATAAATCCTGGCGGACCTGAAAATGTTTAAGCAGGCCTTGCAAGGCTTTGTCAAGGCTCACCTGAAGGCAGCATCAGATTACTCGGTCCAACCTTATTTCATAAATGAACAACTCTGGTCCATCTGGTTCAACCCTTTGGATCACGATAACCAAATGTGGCCCTAATTTTAATATTTTAATCATTATTACAATAACCTCTTAATCTTAAATTCAATAAAGATAAACTTGGGAACCAACAATCAACCATGAGGGACCTTTAAATACCAATACATATATCTGCAGGTTTAATATTTAAACATAACAACATTAGATCTTTCAACACCTGTATTGTATAATATAGATATTTATAAGTTATACAAATTAGTTCAAAAATGTCTACACTAGACTTGTAGTGTTGTGACTACAAGGTGATCATCCAGATAATAAAATTATGAAAATCACAAAATACATACTTTCTCCAGCTCTGTAAGGAAACTGTCCAGCGACTCGTCACTAAGCTTTCCGACCTCAAACATGGTCACTGCATGGCTTTTCAAACCCTGTAATATATCCCAGCAGGACATCGGTCAAGATTCATGTTCAACATCCCTAGAATGGCTGAAAATTCAGCCAGACACACTAGCAATGCATAACAGATTAGAAGATGTTTTGTGTCCAAAAAATTCCTTTCTGAGTTACATTAATTGTTATTATCATTTATATTAACCAACGTTTTTATTTATATAATACAGCTGACAGCAGAGGAAATGTAAACATTTCTATAGTCAGAATAAAATCTGTGTATCTGTGTATTAATTGGGCATTGGAGATGCATTGTTTCATTGTTGAAGGACCTCCTTTCTTAAGAGGTTAAGGAGCAATATATTAACTAGCTATAAGGTTGACAGTGGAACATGTACATCTATTCCAAATAGACTTTTTTTTTTATATAAGTAAGTATAGCGACTACTTACTGGTGACAGGTTGCCCATCATGAGGAACGCTGTCAGCGTGGAGTCAAACAGGAATGCTATTCTCTTACAGCTTCCAACCGTCGGACTCTCGCTCTCTATAAAGATGAAAAATAAATAAAAGAGCGGCAAATAATATATAACAACATCTTCGGGAACAAACAAACTGTTTGACGAGAAGGGAGTATGTATTGCAAATTTGTGGAAGTATTGGTTCACTGCATTTGTATTAGCGAACGGTGGTGCAGAAATGCCAATAACATTAAAGGAAATAGAGAACATAATAAGAAAGGTTACTGAATATCGTGAAATTTTGGCCGCAGTTTATAATAAACTTTTGCCTTTTTTCACCCTCCCCAATGAGGGCCCCAATGTGAATTAATCACGGAGTGAATATTAGAACACAACATACAATGTATAGTAATTGCATGTGAAGGGCAAAATTAACACTGGGTGAACATGGAATTTTATCTAAAAAGGGTGAATATTTGACTGGGTGAAAGTTTCGCAGTATACGGTTTATATTATATCATGATCAGGAGTGCTAGTCATAGCATACAATTTTTTTTCATGAAACAAGAAATCATATACATCTTTTAGTTTATCATTTGATGAATGAAAATGATGTATTAGACATCTGATTATAATGTCCTAAGAGGCAATCCCGACACACACCCATGACATCCTTCAGGGCGTTGATATTTGAGTTAGGATTGACCGTCGCCTCCTCTTCGTGAGTAGGCTCCTTGTTAGCCTCTGCCAGGGCATTGTCCCAGTCTAGGATTGTCTGGTCGGGTGTCAACCTGTTAGACAGAACATCAGACTAACATAGCCGTCCATCGTTACTTAACAATCACTGGTACGTTTTTCATAACAAGTCACGTTAGTAACACTCAAATTTTATAATACAATCATACTGTATAATGATATCACTGTAGTTTGTAGTGAACCAGGTTTGAACGCACAATATATGATACAGTATATGATGAGAAACATCTACATGACACAATACTTTTATTTGCATCATATGTAAATTCTGTTGCCAAATATTTGTATCACAGAATGTTACTCTTAACGTCATATGTCATTCATTGGAGGGAAATGTGATGCGACACCAAGTTTACATTATATTAACAGAGATGCTGTTTGATGTAAGTAAGAATTAAGTATTTCATTTTAACATTTCAGTGCAAGCACATGTTTGTAAAGTTTTGTAGAATTACATGACTATTTCTACCACTGCATTCCCTTTGTTATAACATAGCAAAACTAGGTCACTGACGGGTAACCAAGATGCAACAAGAGTACCGCGTGGCAGAACTATATATACTTTCTTACATTGAAATAAGATCTGCATCATTGTAAGAGTGGTTAGCTGACACGCTATAAAACAATGTAGGAGAAAATCTCTGGACAAAAAATCAAGTACTGAAAGGAACAAAGGGCAAGAACTTTTGCAAAAATTGTTGAAACAAAATTCTTTTAAGGGAGACACAACTTCATATCATGATTATACTGTATACCAAGTTTTAAAGAGATCTGTTGAAAAATGTAGGAGGAGATTGCCGGACAAACAAAAGTTTACGCCGGACGGACGACCCCATACCATAATACTTCCGTCAAATTTGACGGGCGTATAAAAATAAATGGACCATTGAATTAATACAAGAAAACCCACCACTGTTATCATCGATTTAAACAAGTACAGAAACTTTTTGTATTTGTTACACTGACTTTCTCTGTGCTGAAATTTCTTTAATGATAAAAAACATTGCATCTATTAGTCCATTATGATGTCATATTTATGATATTGGAGATCAGCCATATTGAACAGCAGGTTTAGCCTTTGATTTTATTGTATCAAAAAGCATTCCAGTATTTTTGTATTAAACACTATCAATCACTTCTAAAGGATTTTTATATTCATACCAGTATATCAACAACAAAATACTGTTCAACCCTTACATATGTAAAATTAAAAGAAAACATTTTGACGGAAAAAATGCCCCGTTTACAAGATGATATCGCGCAGTGTTCGTCACCTACTTTTTGTTGACAGGCTGCACATCCTTCCAAGATGGTTGAAGGTTGTCATAGTTATAAAACTCTACTCCTTTTTTCTTGGCAAATCCAAGGCGACAGTACATGGAAACAGCATTCTGAAATGGTAAGATATAATACACCTTACAGGCAGCATAACAATCCATAAGTGTAAATTTTGTCCCTTCCTGATTTCTAAACTATGTGCCATAAGGTCTTATTACAAGGATCATAAACAGCTAGATATAAATATTCCTCTTTGTAATAATCTAATACAGCTTGATGTTTCTGACTAAATGTTTTCAAAAAGTACGACTATATTCAACAATACATGAACTGACAACTGTTTTCAGAGACACATTAACTGACAACTGTTTTCAGAGACACATTAACTGACAACTGTTTTTCAAAGATACATTAACTGACAACTGTTTTAAAAGATCTATTAACTGACAACTGTTTCCAAAGATACACTAACAAAAAACTGTTTTCAAAAATACACTAGCTGACAACTAAGTACACCAATATATTGCCTAACACTGTGTTCCCGTTACATTACCTTGTAAATAAATCTTTATCTTACCTTGACTAGCTGTAAGTCTATTTGTAGAACGTTGGCGAGCTGAAAACAAAACAGTCAGCCTTAAAACATACTTATTGATTCCAGATTAGAAATGAAGTGACAAAATGCAATTTCACTTCACTACATTGCACCCTTATGCTAGGTAATGCTGGTGAAAGGACCAACATCAAATATGTATTAAATAATATTTAGATTTATCATCTACATTTATCATTTAGGTTTCAGGAGGATACCTAATGGTATACAAAAGCCCTGTTATGATAAGCACGGCGAAAAACAAAAGAAGAGAAGCAACTACTGAGTCCTGGTTTCCATAACTACATTCCTACTTGTGCTGACTAGTTTTGGCCTGCTAGCTAGGCAGGACGTCGTCAGTAGACAGCTATATATCATTTCCTTATGTAAGGTGTCAGAACAGTTTGTACTGAGTATATTCTGTTACATTAACGGTAGTGTTAAACACTTCAATACAAAAAAACACCTGTTATCACCAAACAGCTGTAATGTTGGAGCTACTTTAAGATGGAATTCAATTTTATACTGAAAGGGAGATAACACTCTATCAGTGACATGAACGGACCTCTGTACTCACTTCTCCCCTTTTTATTAGTAAATTAAATTTTATCAAAATCAACATTAAATCAAAATCAATTATCAAACCTATATATAAGTAAAGATCAGAAAAAGTATGATATATGGAATCCTGCAATTTATGAATTTTGTTAATAAATATGGAGGAAGGTCGACTTTGTGCTTTGTCTAACTATTACTTAAATCTGCTGCTCATGAGTGGCAGAATCAATAGATTACGTACCTCTGATACTGTTGTGTGCTCATCAATGGACACAAATATTTTATACAGCAGAGTCTCAAAGTAGTCCCCCAACACTCGGTTCATCACAAAGCCTTCCAGTGGAGGGACTGCAAAATAAAAATGTCAACAGTGTCCTACATGGAATATAAACAGCTCATGAATCACCCATTCACATATAACTTATTCATGTTCCATCACATTAAATGTTATCTGTTTTGGCCAAATAATTTTTCTACTGGAAATGAGTGTAAATCATTTATGAATAGATGACTGATAAATATACACCACATATTGATGAAGTACATGGATGTACAGAGTGGGTTCCATCATATTTACCAATGATGCAGTCAGTATCAGCTATAGGAACGTCTAGGTAGATTAGTCCTTTTTTGTATAATCCTAAAACAGAAATATCTCTGATTGAAAATATATAGCATCATAAAGCAGGGACATTTTCAAGAGTGCCTGTTAATGTAAATAGTCTTGTTTAAGTTTTACATTACAAAGTACATGTACCAGGTATTGCCCAATATAATATGTAACACACTCGTACAATTTGTTGAATTGGAAGAGTTCAAATGTGTCTTCAGGGGTGAATAAGTTAATACAGAATACATGTACTGTATTTTTGATTTCTTGTATCTTTTCATTATACATGTAAACATAAATATATTTCTGTTGAATTAAGTATAAATTTCTTGTAATTGAAGCCTAATGTACCCTTTAACTCATAATTTACTTTTGACAGTTATGTCCCCTGTTTGACAGTTATGTCCCCTTTATGCGTAAGTTGAGAAAGTATGGTAAGATGGATAGTGTATTTATGCTTGTTTTATCATTTAACAGTCATTTTATCCATGTCAGAAATCAATGAACAAATTTTACCCAGTATCCTTGTCAATATATATTAAACACATTTAATTGTATGAATGTGTACTTTTTTATCTGTAAAAATAAACATAAAAGCTGTCACAATTCCAATATGATATATTATTATTAAGTATCTTTATACATTAAAGGTTAAAACCAAACTCAGGAAGTCTAGCATAAAGTTATTCCCTTTTTAATAACATAGTACCTAGAGAGGGGGCATATAGACAGATATATCATTATTTCATATATTATTGGGTGGGCTGAAGAAGTTTAGTTATTCCCGTTTTAATAACACAGTACCTAGGGAGGGGGCATATAGACAGATATATCATTATTTCATCTATTATTGGGTGGGCTGAAGAAGTTTCTATATACATGTATACATTGATTAACTTTGAATAGGCTATGTTAACAGGTTGTGACACATTACAAACAATACAAATGAGGGACTACAGAGTCCATACCATACCGATGAAAGGCCACCGTGATTCAAAAACTAACTGTATTGACCTTACCATGAATAAGTTTGAAGTCGTGCTCCCCAGCTATAACCATGCTGGAGTCGATAATACTGTCAATCAGTAGCTTCTCTACGGTCGTACACATCTGAAAACGATCAAGATAATCATTTCAATCAGTATATATACGTTTGTAAATTTATTATTACGCCATCATTATCTAATTAGTTTTGAACTAGAAGTTTGCATCAGTTAAAATATCAAAATGAATGTTTCTTTTAACAATCCTCACAGTCCCAATTGTGTAAAGCAGATATAAAATACCCAAAGGGCCTGTACTACTCACTTGTTTTGATCTAAACTACACAAGGCCATGAAAATATTCCATCAACTTGAGAAGATTGTAGTAACTGCAGTTTTCTCAATGATCTGAACTAAATAATAACAGTTGCACAGAATTATAACAGGATAATTTGTACTGGTTTTAGACATTTGATCCTTGTTACTTTGAATGAGGGACAAAGTCATTATTTGGACAGTGTTTCACCCAAGCAACAACAGTTTATAGGTCAAGTATATATATATGACTTGTGGGTGTTCAGAAAGATTTGATGATTTTTTAACTGTTTTTAGTCAAATCTGATAGGCCATCCACTATTTGTATGTGGCATAGTCTATACTGACAAGCCACAAGTCTTTGTTGTCCTCAATCTGAGTTACCTACCCTGGCATCATCTGCAGTGAGCTTACACTGATAAGCCAACAGTTTATGTCCCCCCTCCCCAGAGTTACCTACCCTGACATCATCTGCAGTGAGCTTACACTGATAAGCCAACAGTTTATGTCCCCCCCACCCCAGAGTTACCTACCCTGACATCATCTTCAGTGAGCTTACACTGATAAGCCAACAGTTTATTTCCCCCCACCCCAGAGTTACCTACCCTGACATCATCTTCAGTGGGCTAGCACTGATAAGCCAACAGTTTATGTCCCCCCTCTCCGGAGTTACCTACCCTGACATCATCTTAGTGAGCTTACACTGATAAGCCAACAGTCTTTGTTGCCCTTCCCCAGAGCTACTTACCCTGACATCATATTCAGTGAACTAACATGTACACTGATAAGCCAACAGTTTGTGTCCCCCTCCCCAGAGCTACCTACCCTGACAGCATCTGCAGTGAGCTTACACTGATAAGCCAACAGTTTGTGTACCCCTCCCCAGAGTAACCTACCCTGACAACATCCTCTGTGACGTAGCCTACAATGACATGCCACCAGTTTGTGTACCCCTCCCCCAGAGTAACCTACCCTGACATCATCCTCCGTGACGTAGCCTACACTGACAGGCCACCAGTTTGTGTACCCCTCCCCCAGAGTAACCTATACTGACATCATCCTCCGTGACGTAGCCTACACTGATACGCCACCAGGTTGTGTACCCCTCCCCCAGAGTAACCTATACTGACATCATCCTCTGTGACGTAGCCTACACTGACACGCCATCAGTTTGTATCCCCCTCCCCAGAGTAACCTACCCTGACAACATCCTCTGTGACGTAGCCTACACTGACACGCCACCAGTTTGTATTCCCCTCCCCAGAGTAACCTACCCTGACATAATCCCCCGTTGATGTAGCCTACACTGATACGCCACCAGTTCATGTTCCCCTCCCCAGAGTAACCTACCCCGACATCATCCTCCGTGACGTAGCCTACACTGACAGGCCACCAGTTTGTGTACCCCTCCCCAGAGGAACCTACCCTGACATCATCCTCCGTGACGGAGCCTACACTGATACGCCACCAGTTTGTGTTCCCCTCCCCCAGAGTAACCTATACTGACATCATCCTCTGTGACGTAGCCTACACTGACACGCCACCAGTTTGTATTCCCCTCCCCAGAGTAACCTACCCTGACATCATCCTCTGTGACGTAGCCTACAATGACATGCCACCAGTGTTCCATTAGAGCTGTATCAACTGGCTGAACTGGTAATAATTCTTTGGGATTTTTCCTCCGGAAAAACTTCTGGAAAATCAAAAACAATTTTTTTAGGAATGTGTCGGTAAATATGCTGTGTAAGAATGTTATTCAGCAATAAGTTTTCAACTCAACATGTTTCACTTTTAGAGTGTTTATCATTTGCAAGGCAAAATCAGCAATCAAGATGAGTGTACATGATACAGTGTCTAGTATCTGCAGAATATTTCATGAAAATTTCATGACACGTGTTTCAAAGTAATTATATCCGGGTTAACAACAGTACATCCTGACCCACCTTGGAGGACCTACACTGGTTCATCAAATCAATATACTGGTTACGACCAATCCCCAGCAGACGAAGACCTGAATCACAAAAAAGCTCGAAAGTTAGACCCATTTATAATACCATAAGTAACTTATCTATTTATACATATAATTGATTTATTGAGTAAATGTAAATATTGATTACGCTCACACATAGCAGCTTACAGAATAATGAAAAAATATAATACAAATTTTAAACAATCGTACCTTTCCTTTCTGATAATTGTATCGGTATTTGTATGATAATGAATGATTATGCGTGTCTGTATATGTTTGTTTTATGTCATGTTAAGTATATATTGTAACTGTATTGTATGTATATTAATGTAAATATTTTAAAGAAAAAAAATAATGATTATAACCATTTTTGGTTATTATGTGTACTTCAAAATAAGTGTTATTGGGATCCTCCATTTAGTAAATAACTGATTCTCTCTTTATTGCCTGCCTTCTCCCTATATGTGTAGACTTACAATTGATTGAAATGGGTAAGATTACCACTGTGCTTCTATTGATAATAGTAGATTAATACAAGTACATGTCTTAATGCTGTTTAGCAAGGGCTAACAACAAATGGAAGTGCCAATAATTTTCCAGGCAATATACTACAAGTTTGCTTATATAGGGTTGTTTTTTTGCTCACTTTTACAACCTAATACAGGCTGTTTCCTCTAGCTAAAAAGTGATTTTTTCCCGAAAATTACAAAAACTGATGAATATATTTATTTCAAATTTTAATAAAAATAATGCCATATTTTCTCAATTCATAAAGGAACAGGCTTGTTGTAAAATTTAGGTAAACAAGAGGCCCAAGAGGGCCTGTATCGCTCACCTGAATATTTAAGCAGTCATAGCAAAATATTCTCATTAAATATTATATTGCACTAAAAATATTTCCCTTGCAAACTTTGTTGGCTCCATCTGTTGAAACTACCAGCAAAATATTATTATAAAATTCTATGCTTTTTGATTCTTCTTCAGAAGTTGCTTGACATATTTTTCCCTGTGATCTTGT